TAATATTTATAAGGACCTTTTGTCAGTAACAGCTATAAAAAGCAAAAAAATAGTAAAATATTTTTGAATGCCCTATAGAAAAGTAAATAATTATAGGTCTGCTACTCTCTCTTTTTCCTTGCAATCATGCAACCTTTCAAAAACACTGAGTCCAGCAACTCCCATCCTCTGGAATTGTCAGATAGATTTGCAATTAATTTACCATTCTTCCTCTTGCCCTGTCTTTTCTGGCTTTAGTAGACTTCCTGGCTGTGCTGAACATTAGCCTGAGATCTTGGCCAAGTTTCTTAATGTCTCTGAGCCTCTCACTACTTCAGTAAAAGGTGAATACTGAGTCTGTTTCCGAGAATAAGTGAGATAGTTTCAGTGAAATGGTGTGCAGGTTCTGGCACATGGGAGAGATTTAGATGTTGCTCTTTTATTTCCTACCCTTTCCTGTTTATGATTATAATTTATGATAACTCTCCAACAGAAGTCTTCTTTGTTTCTCAGTTTTATCATTAGAGCTTTTTTACACTGCTAAAGGCAGACTTTGTCAATGGAAAGAAAATAATCACCTTCATACAGAAAATACAAACAAGGGCTATGTCCATACAAAACACACTAGAGAGTAGGAGTCTTAGCCATTAAATAGTAAATATTTTATTCCCAGAAGCAAAGTTCAAACTACTGGGAACAGGTCAAAGATAAGTGGGTAGGTTTATAAGCACTGTCCACTCCAGAAGGGAAAAAAAGGTATGTGGTTCAGAAAGTGGATACTGGAATTAAGTCTGAGTTTAAATTTAAACTCTGCTAGATGCGTGATTTTGGAAAAGTCAGCCAGTCTTACTAAGATTTAGTTTCTTCATCTGTAAACTAGAGATGATAATAATGGCAGATATCTTGTCAAGCTTATGAGAGAGATGAGATAATAGCGTGTTTAATTCAGGGTTGGCATACAGAAAATGTTCAATAATTAATAAATATTTAATAATAATATCTTTCCCTGGGAAAAAGTATATACATCAGGTATTGCAGTCTAAATCTGTTCTTACTGTATGCTAAGTAAACAATGTTTTGATATTTGTTAGTTTTTTTTCTTTAAATACATTCCAATAGCCACTAGATTATACAGCAGTCTTGATAGCTTGGAGGTCATCTTGAGAAGGCTTTTCTTGAGTTGTGGTTAGAAAGCACAAACTTACAACCTCTTGGAAGACTGAATCCAGAATGGAGCAGGAACAAGTTGTAAAGGAGTCATACAATAAGTTTAATTAACTTTTTTAAAAGAAAACTATACAAACTATCTTCTCTGACCATGATGGAATAAAACTATCAGTAACAACAAAATATATAGAATTATACCTTAATGTTCAGAATTTAAATAGCATACTTCTGAGTAACTCAAGATTCAAAGAAGAAAGTGTAAGATAATAGAAAATATTTCAGAATGAATGAAAATATTGATCAGAATTTGTGAGATCCATCTAACATAATGCTTAGAGCTAAATTTATAGCCTTAAATGTCTACATGAGAAAAGAAGAAAGGTTTAAAGTAGTGATATAACTTTTTGTCTTAAGATGCTAAAGAGAAACAAAGTATGAATTCAACCCAAAATAAGAAGGAAGGAAATAATAATAAAATGGAAATCACGCAATGGAATCAGTAAACTAGAAAACAAGGAACAGAGAAGTTTAACACAGCTGAAGTTGTTTTCTTTGGAAAGATAAACTTGATAAATCACATCGAGACTGATTAATAAGAGATGTCATAAATTATCAGTCTCAGGAATGAAGAATACCACTACAGATCTACCGATATTAAAAAACAATAACAGCAATAAGGTTAACAATCTTATGGCAATAAATTGAACAACTCTATATGAAAACCACAACTGAAACAAGAAAAATTAGAAATCTGAGTAGCCCTGTAGTCTAATAAAGAAATTGGATGTGTAAACAAAATCTTCCCACAAGGAGAACTTCAGACACATGTGAATTCGATTAACATTTAAGGAGGAACTAGCACCTTTTTAAATAAACATTTTCTGAAAAAACAGGAGGAGGAAATACTTCTCAAATAATTTCATGGGACTAAGTTAACCCCGTTATTAAAACCAGACATATCACATTTGAAAATCAAGTAGGTAATTCAATAGAGGCAAAATAAATGAAAAAGATATAGAGATCAATGCAAAAAAATGCATTGAACAAAATTCTCCACATGTTTATGATTTTTTTAAAAACTGTCAAAAAGTAGGAATAGAAGAGAACATCCTCAATCTTAGTAGGAACATAGTGAACACTTTACCGTATGATTGAGAACAAAACAAGGACTACTATCTACCCTCCTCACTTTTTAGTATATGTTAAAGGCCCCATGACTAATGCAGTAATACAAGGAAAAGAAATTAAAGGTATAAAGATTGAAAAGCAGAAATAATCTACTCACTGAGGACATGATTATGTTCAAAATTCTCAGGAATATATAAAACAGCTACTCTAACTCATGATAGAATTAAGCAGTCACAGGAAACAAGCTCTGTATACAAAAATCAATTGTATTTCTATAAACTATTAGCAAATGGCCAGGAAATTAGATTCTAAAATTCATTGTCAATTGTGTAAAGAAAAAAAAAAGTACTTAGAAATAATTGAACAAAAATTTGTAAGACTTGTGAAATACAAATCGTAAAACATTATGAAAGAAACTGGATGAGGCCTGAATAAATGGGAATAGATAGCATGTGAGTGGATTGGAAGACTCAGTATTGTCCTCCCAAAATTGATTTTTAGATTCAATTTAACATAGCCAATAAATTCTCAGTAACTTTTTCAAATAGGAAATGATAAATAAATCTTAAAATCTGTAAAAAAGTAAAGTCCAAACAAACCTTGAACAAAGCCAAAATTGAAAATGTTCTTTACCTAGTTTTGAGACTTACTGTTAATCTATAGTAATCAAAATAGAGTATTATTGGGATAAGAATGGGCAAATGTATTGTTCGAAAAATGGATCAAGGGAGAGTCCAACAGTATATGCACCCAAACACATGTTGTTTTGTCTGCCAACGATTATGCATTGATAGCTCACTGGTAGCTTGATCACTAGTGTAGCGATACTAGGAAATAGTGTGGACCTTAAAAGATTGTCCCTGTGGTCATTTAAGGTTCTATCTTCAGAAGAGATTAGGATGATTCTTGTGGGATTTTGAGTTAGTTCTTGCCAAGAGGTAAGCTGCTTTGAGAGTGAGCCCAGCCTTGGAATTGTCCTGTTCCGAGACATGACCTCTTCCTCCCACACATGCTTCCGACACTGTGATGCCATCCTCCATGGGGTCCTAATCACAGCCAAGGTAGTACCAACACTAGGCCCTTAAGCCTCAATAACTGGAAGCTAATAAAGTTCTTTTGATTGTAAAGTCACCCAGCCTCAGCTATTTCTTTACAATAATAGGAGATGAACTAACACAGTATGATCAGTTGATTTTCAGCAAGGTGACATGGCATTTCAGTGAGGAAAGGAGAGGCTTTAAATAAATGGTTCTGGGACAAACTGATAAACATTACACAGAGAAAATCACTTCACTTCTATCAGCAACACACAAAGTAATTTAGGATGGATCATAGACTAAATGTAAAAACAGCCTATAAAAATCTAGAAGGAAACACAAGAAAGTATTTTTGCACTAGGCAAGGATTTTTTAGGATGCAGAAAGAACTAGTATAAATAATATTAAAATACTAGTATAAATAGTATTAAAACTTCTGGACTGGAGATTTAGCTCAGTGGTTTCACCACCTGCTGTGCAAGCACAAGTACCCGAGTTCGACCCCCAGTACCAAAAAATAAATAATAATAATAATTAAAACTTCTGCTTCATAAAAGTGAAAATGTCTGCTAATCAAAAAACACCTACATGAGCAAATCTATATAAAGGGCATGAGTTTTCTTGTACTATGCTTAATACTTTCCTCTTAAGTTGGAAATTATTTGTAAATAAAATGTTTTTTTAAAAAACGTACCATTAAGAGAACAGGGATGAAAGGTTCAGGGTACTGCACAGTGGTAGAGTACCTGCTTAACAGGAGGCAACATTGAAGAGCTATAAAAAAGGGTAGGTTGATTTTTTTTAAATAGCTATACTATAAATATTGATAAGTGTATGTGAAAAAAAATATTTCCCTAGGGGACTGCTAGTTGTAGAAAATTGGCAATGCAGTACATCTTGACAACAATGCTAAAAATCAGGAAAAAATGATTTATTCTCAGACAAAAAGTCAGTTTTTAAGGAAGCCTCAATTTTACATTATAGCAGCCTGAGACAGGTTTGGAGATTTCCAGCCTGCTGTGTTACCTCTGAGACCTAAAAGAAGCAGAACACAAAAATGAGCCTCTGTCAATTTGAAGCAAACCTAATCTTTGTGATGATGGCTGTGGTCTAAATCTATTAAAGATGTTCAAATTCATTGTCCTTGGTATCACTGCGGGTTGACCTGAACAGTGAGCAATAAACTTGTGTATTATAATTCCAGTTGGAAGATATGCACTTAGGAAGTGAAATCGACAGTCAGTGTTTCGTGTCTGTCTCTAAGCAGACTAAGAGCCTATATAAAATGACAGGTGCATTTTTAGGGAAAGAAACCCATAATGTTTTTCTATTTAGTAGGTGACAGTATGTCCCAAGATAACACAGGTTTAAGGGGCTGGAACGAACCTGGTTATTAAAAGCTTGCAGTTTCTCAGTTCATACAAATTGAATTTTTTCATAGGCTGTAGGACTGTGGAAATCTAGCACAAAGTACTGAAATAAATTAGCATATTAAGTGAATTTATACATTCAGGCTTGTGAGCACTTTGAATTTAAGGAAGAAATTTTATTACTTCTTGAAAGAAAACAACAATTCTTAAATTTGGTGTTTGAACTCCTTATTGGAAATCTGTATCATTTTGATGTTTATTCAAAGAAGTAGTTACTAGATTGATGGGGATCTTTCATCTATCCTATCTCTTTTTTCAGAATTACTGACTTAGGCAACATCAAAAGAAGACTTTATTTATCAACAGTCCATAAGGAACTGTCCTCAACCCCTCTTCATGCAAAAATCCCACTCTTCATGATCAAGCGCAAAATTGTAAGTATCACATGAATGTTGCATAAAGTATTAAATTCAAGGCAGCACATATTAATTATGGGCTGACACTGTAAATGAAGCATCTTGTTAAGTACCGTGGTGGCATAAAAAATGAATAAAAACCATGCTCTTTCTTCCTCTCACTTGAAATCTACCAAGTGAATGAATATTATTATTTAAACACTTACAATGTCACCAAAACTGTGATAGGAAACACCATGGAGAAAGAAGGTACTGTTGGGATGTTGAAAGAAATTCATCTGATTCCTGGATGAGGAAAAGTTACATGAAGGAGATGGCACTTAGCATGGACTTGGAAGCATGGTAAGATTTCAGTAAGGCGATGGCAAGCTGAGTATCCCAAGCAGAAGGAAGAGCATGGGCAAAATCTTGAAGGCCAGTGTCTTCCTTAGTTTTTCTCATTGCTGACACAAAATACTCGACACCCAAAGTTAAAGGAGGAAAGCTTTATTTAGCTCATAGTTTGTAGAGGTTTCAGTCCATTATCAGCTGGCCCCCAAGGCAGGGTGGCATGGCACATGGGCATCACAGAGATGAAACAGTTCATGGTGGGCAGAAGGTTGCAAAGCAAGCAAGAGACAAGACAAGTCTCTTTCTGTCCCTTATATCTTATCCACACTACCTGCTTTAAGGGTGCTCACACCCTTAATCCTAGCATTGCAGCATGAATCAATCACACACTCTAGATCCAGCCACCTCTGAGAAAGGCCCACCTGTGACTGCAAGGCTGTGGGGGGACAGCTAGACACAGCCATGGCAGCCAGGAAATGCTGCATCTTCAGAGAACAGAGAACCAAGGAATCACTGTTGCCACATTGAGAACAGCCCAAGGATCGTCAGTGCTGCAATACAATAGCCTGGTGCAGGTTGTGCCATTTTAAGCTACTGTGTAACCTCTAAAGGCCTGAGTTGACTGACTCGTGCTCTTCAAACTGCAGTCCTTTCTGCATTGCTGTCAGTACCATGTTTGACTCCTGCCTGCTGTAGTAGATACTTAACACTTTATTTTAAATTGACTTGCTCCTTTTTCAGTTAAATTTGTTTTAAAAGAAAACTATACATCGTACTTACAGGTGGAAAATATGTACTAATAAAAAAGCAAGAAAACAAAAATTCCATTTGTGCATTTCCAATTTTTTCTCAGGTATTTATTTTTAGGTTTATTCCATTGTGTCTGGAAAAATATATAGTGGATAACTTTTTTAAAAATTGATTTATTAAAAT